AGCCTGGCCTCGTGCAGTGGTGTCTGACTCCAGTGTGTGAGGCTCTGTCAGTGTTAAGAGATGAGCTAGCCTGAGCCTGGCCTTGTGCAGTGGTGTCTGACTCCAGTGTGTGGTGTTTCATCCCTGTCTGTGTGTGTGTCCCAGAGGAACAGCTCCCTGCCTGATGAGACCAATCTGGCGAGGCTGCAGGAAGAGCTGAAAGCAGTGAAGCTGCGAGAGCTGGAGACTCTGAGCTCCTTCAGGGAGATGCAGGAGCAGGTCACTGAGCTGAACCAGCGCTGGCAGGTACAGTACTGAGAGAGGGATGGGTCACTGAGCTCAACTGGCGCCGGCAGGTCCAGTACTGAGAGAGGGATGGGTCACTGAGCTCAACTGGCGCCGGCAGGTCCAGTACTGAGAGAGGGATGGGTCGCTGAGCTGAACCTGCACTGGCAGGTCCAGTAATGAGAAAGGGTCACTGAGCCAAACCGACGCCAGCAGGTCCACTACTGAGAGAGGGATGGGTCACTGTGGTGAACCTGCACTGACAGGTACAGGACTGAGAGAGGCTTGTCTTTCACTCCCCCTGTCCTTTCTCCCTTCCTTCTCTCTTCTCCCCTCTCGTTTCCCAGCATCACATGTCCCGGGGTGGCGGGGGGGGTCACTGGAAGGAGTCCCCAAAGAAGAACGCCCTGAACGACCTGCAGGACCGGCTGATGGGGGTGCGGCTGAGGGAGGCCCAGGCCCAAGCCGAGCTGAGGGAGCTGAGGCTGAGGGCCCTGCAGCTGGAGAGCCAGGTACTACATCTATCACACAGCCTTAGATTCCTGGGAGGAAGAGTACAGAGTACAGTACTACTTCCATCTCTACTTATCCATCTTTTCCTTTCTTTCTTGCATTCTGTCCCTTCCCCTCACTCTCTTTTAATTTCAAATTCAAATCCAAAAGAGCATTATTGGCGTGACAGATGAATAACAGATACTATAAGCACATTTACAGACATTTAAAGTTCAAACATATAATTAGGCACTTATATAGAACACATACTGTAAAATATAAACCGTTATTGAGAGCCAGGCTCACTGTTCTTCAGGATGTAACAGGGGATCGCAAACTGTGTTGCCAGCTCAATTGAGTTCCCTCCCCCTTTCCCAGTAGGATTGGGAGCTGTTGTGGTTTTGGCATGTGTCAGAATTCTGGGATTAGATTTGTTATTTTGGGGAAGAATGTTTGTCTAATCCCAGAGTATTTCTCACTGCATCAGGAAGTGCGTTACTACCAGTTTTTCTGGGATTTGTAAATGTGTGTCTCAATGGGTCTTTCCCTCACTCCCTAGTTCTCTTCCTCGCTATCTCTGCCTCCCTCTTTTCTTCTAATTTCTGTTCAGTTAATTTCAGAGGTGTGTTGCTGGAAGTGGCCCACATTAGCAGTGTTACCAAACCAGAAACAGAGCCCTACTCAATTAAGAGTAGTGTAAAAGAAAAGAATGCAAAAAAGTACAAATGAATACCTGTTGTTAAAACAGAACACTCCTCCCTCTTTTCCTCTCTCCCTCAGAACCAGATTCAGATTAACCTGGTGAGCCGCCAGGAGCAGGAGAGCGCCGCCCTGCAGGAGAGAGTGCAGAGCCTCACTGCACAAAACAAGGCCCTACAGGGCCAGCTGGGAGAGATGAAGAGGAAGCAGGCTGAGTCTGACTGCAAGGTACAGCTGGCTCAAGCTCTGCAGCCTGTCGAGTTCAGCTCTCGAAGAAGAAGCTCTTCTTGCGTCTAAGTCTCTCTTCTCCCTTCCTGTCTCTCCGGACCCTGTTCATCTGCTGCCCTCCCCCCTGCCTCCCGCTCCCCTCTGTCCTCTCTCAGAGCAAGGAGGAGGTGATGGCTGTCCGTCTGCGGGAGGCGGACAGTATGGCTGCCATGGCCGAGCTGCGCCAACGAATCGCTGACCTGGAAATACAGGTGCTTGTCTTCCCACAGTGCACTCTTGTGGGGTGCGTCATAGTATGCTTCACTGCGTATCACGGCTTTCCAGTGTGTCTCTTCATGTCAGAAAGTGTCAGTCTGTTACAGTGACAGTGAGTTTAACAGTGTGACTGTGTTACAGTGCCAGTGAATGTGAAACACTGACAGTGAGAGAGTGTCAGTGTGCTACAGTGACAGTGGGAATGTGCAAGTGTGTAACAGTGACAGTGAGTGTGTTGCAGTGACAGTGTCAGGGTGCTACAGTGACAGTGGGAATGTGCAAGTGTGTAACAGTGACAGTG